CATGGTGTGACGTCGTGCCCTTCCTTCCTATCCTACCAAGTGGCTTCTTTTTAGCTCCAACCACTTCTTGCTCTTCTCGTTGCTTCAGCTGCACAAAGCATCAACCCAGTTGCTTCCTTCTGGAATACTACATCCCTTGTATTTTCCCGTTTAAATCATAGCTTTGTAACAATACTTCTGGTTGCCTAGCACCATAACACACAGACAAAATGTTATCAAGTCTCCATCGCACCTCTTTTTTATGCGTTTTTTGCAGCTATGCAACGCAAAAACGCATATTGTCGAGGGGTTGTCTGTGTGTGTGTGTGTGTGTCTGTCTGTGTGTATGTGTGTGTCTGTGTGCTCGTCTGTAACGAGTTTCATCTCGAGATCCACAAAAGCAACAAGGTTGGAAATTTGGTGACTTAATCTACACACACGTGCGGGCTCGTATTCTCAAAATGGGCGCTCAGGTCCACGTGGTCCTCACGTGGGGGCACGTGAAAGTTTTCTTGGCGGGAAAGCGTTTTCGGGGACGACCCATGCTAGGAGGCTGGAACTTCACAGAGATGTTCCTTGGCAGCGTCTAATCCAAAGATTATAAATTCAGCCTTCACGCACCTTCAGGTCTCACGTACGCATACGTCAAAGTTTAAACTGGCATCATCCCAACTGCAGATTTAAGCTGACTGGTAAGCTGCAGGAAGCTGCAATTATGCAGCGTTACTTGTCGCCTACTGTTGTGCCCGTGTAAGTAAATTACTTGTCAACTGTTCTGCATCTCACATACGAACACGTGAAAATTTCGCGCACGCGCTTTTGTAACTTCAGAATTAACTTTTATAACTTCAGCTTTTGTAACTTCAGAATTTGTAACTTCAGCCGGAGGACCTGGACTTTCTGAGCATAGCCGACGGCGACCTTTGACCAAGCGCACGCAAAACGTCTTACACATCACTTTCACATGTCACGCACGTTTCACGTGTACACACGTAAAATTTGACGTAACTCTGCAACCAAAGCGGCTGGAGCGCTGGAACTTTTTGAGCTCTACCCAGAACTGTTTTTGAGCTAACTGCGGGCGAAGAAAGCATTCACGTTGTCATTCACGTGCGAAAACGTGAAATTTGACGTAACTCTGCAATCAGGGCAGCTGGAGAGCTGAAACTTTTTGAGCCTTGTCCAGGACCGTGTTTGAGCAACTGCGGGCGAAGAAAGCATTCACTAGCCACTCACGTATGAACACGTGAAATTTGACTTAACCCTGCAACCAGGGCAGCTGGAGTGCCGAAACCTTCTGAGCGCTAACCAGGGCCGTGTTTGAGTAACCGTGGGCGAAGAAAGCATTCATCTAGCCATTCGCGTATGAACACGTGAAATTTGACGTAACTCTGCAACCGAAGCATCCAGAGCACTGGATCTTCTGGGTATGGATTGGGAGTAG